AGACCTCAGCCACTGATGCCACTGCATTTTCCTTTCCAAGCCCGAAGTTCAGTTTATTCACCTCTGAGAACGGAGGCGAAGCTGCTCCGTTTTGTGCAGTAGTCGCTACAACACTGGACTTCCAGGTTTTCAGCAAGGAACCTTCGCATCCCAACCTGAAGATGTTGGGAATTCAGTCCAGGAACTTCTGCACGCACAGCATGGCTTTTTACAACCAGGCTGCAACCTCTCCTGAAGGCGACAGGGGCTACTGTGAGAGTAGAATGGATTTTCTGAAAGCCCTCCAAGGGCTTTGTGTTCGCTTGAAAGACGTGCAGAGCCTTGACCCCTCCGAGGGCAATCTGAGGTGCTTGTGAATCCCTAATCTTCAGCAGCAGAAGATTCAGCTGCCAGTTCAAATCGCAGCATGTTGTAATTGTGTGACAGTTATTTCTATATTAGCATTTTCATCCTTTAAGTAAAGATTTGCGCATGTTTTACTCCTAGTCTGCTGCTTCATGGGTTTTGTCATTTTAAGACCTGCACAAGCACTTGTGCTTGTGTCTGCATGCTTTGCTAATGAGCTGCCCTAACAGAATTTAAGTACTGCAGGAATACAAAGGTTACTCTGAAGAACTGGATCAAAATGTTTAGAATTCAGTATGGTGTATACAAAAAAGTGGTAAGAGCCATGGATGTGGTCCAGAAGGGGTTAGACAATTAAGCTGTGTGCTGGTCATAATTTTTAAGGAAAGAGGTAAACAGCTCTGTGTGTGTGTGTATAAAAGAAGCAATTGTTTCAACTTGACCAGTTTTAAACTGTAGATCAGATTCTTTTTAGCTGATACCAGTCAGGTTTTTGTCATGTACATCAATCAGGAACTGCAACAAGTTTTAGGTGGTTATTACTTTAGGATATAAAATCAAATTAATAAGTAAAACTTTGCTGGGCACAGACCATTTTTAAAATGCCTGCCATTTGCAGATGAAGAGTGCATGCAGAAATTCTCTAGGCAAGGCTTTGTACTTAGTTTCCAGTTCTGAGACGGGATCCTTACCAAACAGCAAAAATGTCCAAAATCTAGTGCACAGAGCAGAGTCCAGTTGTGTTGTTCCAGTAGCACCTGTGCAGTGCATTGTGCAACTGCTTGTGCTTCCCATATGGGCAACCAGTTGTGCAAAAGTGCAATGGGCACTGTTTGTGCAGCAGAAAAGTTTGGCAGAGCTCCACTAGCAGCACTTGAGTCTGCGGAATGACCCTGTTGGACACTGACCATAGCAAGTAAACTGCGGCTCACGCATTGTTTGCCCCACCTCTCATGTGCCCTTTCACCTGCCCTTGGCAATGCAGGGAGCCAGTTCCAGAGTCCAGGGCCTCATCTGTTGGGGCCTAATTGCTGGCGGTAATTCTCTTCCTGGCCACAGCGCTGCTGCCCAAGGTCGCATGGCCTCTCAGACCTTGGTATGTCTTGGCTTTGCAGGGTCTGAGATGGTATCAGCAAAGCACCTCACAGTGCTAAATGGAGCGAGGGGACTGCGGATTCGGCCCCGTTTGTGCGAAGTCACAAGCTTCTGATCTTTATGCAGGAACATGAAAAGAGCCACGTTAGAACAAACCGTAAGCCCTTCAAGTCCAGCTGGGATGGGCAGGTGCCTGCCTTACTTTGAAGAGGTATCAGAGGACAGTCCTCTGTTTGATGGGCTGATCAAGTCTGGATCAAAGTTAAACGCCATCAGGAAAAAGTGTCCATCAAGGGCACCTGGGCACCAGAGTGAGCAAGCCCGGGGTGACCTTCATAGCATTCCTCAATATAATGAGATGCATTGCATTCGTATTTAAAGTACTGCAGTCGTTCCAGATTTGGATATATGCCCATGCATTAGCATATGCAAAATGTTGGGCAAATGTGTGTTCTATTTCGTCTTCCTTTGTTGGCAGTGTGTTTCCTCTTTTTTGCTGATGTGCAGGTGTCCATCTGAAGTCTGCACAGGCTGATGTCCGGGGAAGCTCACAGCCAGGCCAGGAGAGCAATTGCATTCTTCCACTTTTGTTGCCCAGCAACTGTCATGCAGATTGATTAATGACTCTGAAATTGGTTCAGTATTTACAACTGCTAATATAATTTAGAATCCTGCACTACCCAAAGATGTGCATTAAAGGAAAGAAACCATATCCACCTCCTTACAACTATTTAACTACCTGACTGGCCATACAAAATGAAGTGGTTAATATGCAGTATATTACCTTGCTTCGGGCCCTCGTGTTTAATTTCAGTTAATTTACTTTCTGGATTAGATTCCATTTACCTTGAGAAAAATCTTAAACAGGTTGTAGGTAAGTCAAAAGTAAGTGTGCTGCTGTATGTGTTAACCCATAGAGAATTTCTGAACGTATCCGGGGACAAAAAACATGAGTGCAGATTTGGTGTGGCTGAGGCATTACTTCTCTGACATCTCCTAGAGGTGGAGTTGAGGCAGACGTTCCATACAGAACTTTAAAAAGCATGATATTTCCCAGCACAGTGCTTCACACTGGCCAAGAAAAGAGCCATGTGCCATGTTTACTCATAAGTAGATCCATTTTAGCACCTGTCCTTTCAAATGTCCATTACAAGCCTTGTGTTTGCAAGCCCTGCCTCCTTTATATTTGCTGTTGGTTGTGGCCAAGGGACTGCTAATAAATAGCACTTTTACTGCCTCTTGAATAGCTGCTCTTTATTACCCAAATATCAGTTTGGGCCCTACAAGGCTGGGAGAGGACTTTAATTACTAGCCTCCTTACATTGATTGTATTTAATTTTATTGCAAAATAGCAGCATTCAATGGACAATTAACAGGCTGTTTGTCATTCATCTTCCAGCCATGATCAACAGGAAGCAATAAAATAGCTCCTGCAAACAGGAAACTTCTAATTAAAGGCACAGGATTAGTGGGAAAAAATCTAAATAGCACTACACTTGCTGCTATTCAGTTTCATTCACACGCAATATCAGTACAAAGCAGGTTTGAAAACAGACACACAGAAACAGTGGACTGCAACAACTAGACGCTGACATTAAGGCATAAAAAACAGATTGAATCAAGGATGACTATTCCAGAGAAAATTGCTAGTATGGAAGCAACATAAGACTCAGCATCTCTCAGTGGCCTGGGTATAAATACCTTGCATAGCTACAGTGGCCTTTTCTGGTTGCACTACCATTTGATTAAGGTGGCCTTTTCTGGTTGCACTACCATGTGATTAAGGTGGCCTTTTCTGGTTGCACTACCATTTGATTAAAACCGCATTCTGGTCCTCCCTTATGCTGTAATGTGTATGAGTGCACTAATATTTTGAAGCAACCCTCCCCCACTTTTTCCCTAGCAGTGCACTGTGTCTTTGCCTCATGACTGAACCGATCCTTTGCTCTAGGACAGGTCTGCTAAATGACAATACCTTTTGAGTAATTCCACCTTCAAACCAGTACCTTGCTTTGATGTATTACAATGATGGACTGAAGTGTTCATGCAATATATCACCACAGTTGGCAGTGACTTCAAGCACTGGGAGACTGAACCAGCTGTTTTTCTTAGGCATTCCTGTAATGCATCAGCATACTATGATCACCAGCAGAATTAGCAGAAGTCAAAAAAGAATGAAGCCTAACATTCTTTTTGTGCATAATTTATTTTGTTTTGTGTTATATTGGAAAATAAAGGCCTGCCTTTCAGTTCCCGAAGTTGGCTTTCAGACCCAAGCAACGAGTAAAGTAGAAATAATGGGAGAAAAGCAAATATAATACATTTATTGTGATTATCTCTGGCCCACCCCAAATCTACTTTGCTGCAAGATGGTGGAAGCCTTATGTGCCTTTGGACCATACTTTAACTGCATGTGCACCTGTGTGCCACTCACATACCAGCTAATTTTCATACTCACCCTCACCAGATGTGTCTCCTTTTGTAGTCTGATCCCAGCAGGGGTGGCTTGCTAGGCTTGTTAAAAACAACCATCAAGAACCTGGTAAGCCACCCTGGCTGGGTTCAGATGACACAAGAAGCTGCAATAGAGGCTGGAATCAGAAACCTTAAAGAGGGGTTTGAACCAGCAACAAGTGCCGCAATTTGTCAGGGATTAAGCTTTGAATGTGTAATCCAGGGCAATATGGGATCACATCTAGAAGTAGTTTTCAGTCTTGGAGGGTGGGAAGAGAATACTTTCAGCACAGTGATATGTTTCCTTCCTCAAATATGTCCCACTGAGGGCAATGGTCATACTCCCAAGTAACATATATTAGGATTCAAACCTAAAGCTGCAGCCCTAAGCTTACTTACTAGGCAGGAAGCTCCATTGGGCCCAACAGAATTTCCTTCTAAGGATTTTACTGTAAACCCATGCAGAATATGAAGCATCATTTCTTCTGCAACTTTCTTAACCAGACTAAGAGTAGACAACTGGGCACCTTCCAGATGTTTTGGACTACAGTCCCCCTAAGCACCAACCAGGATGACTAATGTCCAAAACAAGTCCAAGCAAGTTCAAAACACCAGGAGAACACCAGCAGGGACTGATGAATCTTTCCATTTTAGTTTCCGTTGGTTTCCCATTGTCTGAAGTTTGGTTCATCTCAAACTTCGAGAATTTCTCCAGCTTAAAGTTCAGTTCATGTCATATTTGGAGGTTCCTTTTTGTTTGCATTAAATTTCATAAGGATATCCATGCACAGTTCTTCTAACTTAGGCTTTGGTGGGTATATCTTTACCTAATATAAATTTTTATAAACTAATACAAGGCATATTTGAGCATTACTTTCTCTAATATATGCATTTCGGCACACATTTTAATTGGAGAATTCCACTGCAACATTTAAAGAAGTGTGAATTAAGAAAGATAGCTTAACTTTTATTTCCATAGTGATTCAGAAGTGTAAAAGTAGGCAACTTCATATTAGAATGAGACTTGGCACCAAGTTGCATACCTAATCTAGAGTAAAACTTCAAATACTGTGTGAAGTATGACATGCCATGAATTTGTTTTTCAGTCTCATTTGAAGCCTTCAATCAGCCATTTCATTGCTTTTGCACACATAAGTGTCAATGAACTAAGTGTCAAGTTCCAACAGAATGAGAAGTATTACAACTATACAACACCAAAGAGTTTCCTGGAATTCATTAAACTTTACCAGAATCTACTGGGGAAGAAGAGAAAAGAGTTGGTTCAAAACATGGAAAGGCTGGGAAATGGCTTACAAAAGCTGCAGACTACAGCCTCACAGGTAGGTTGGGGAACATTTTCCTGGGAAAGAAATGCTACAATATAAGAGAAGTTTCAGGGTGCAGCAACAGCCATTGCACTGGAAAGCTTTCTCCATCGGTGAGGTCTACACAAGTTGTTGTGACCCGCCATGCACAATGCCACTCCCCTACCATGTAGAGTAGCCAGCAAGGAGTGTGGTAAAACCTCTGTATGTGCTTGGAGCAAGAGCCAGAAACCCACTGTGGTCTCAGCAGCCATCTCCCTAAGACGGAGTCACCTGCTGTGTCATTCCGGAGCATTTTGTGGGAAACATGGCAGATGCCACCAACACAGAAAGACAGCAAGCCAACCCTGCTAGTAATACTAAAGAAATGGCTAATGAGCAGCTTCACAATATTTTGAGGGTGAACATTCCTGTATTGACTTATTTGCAACATTTTCATACCACTCAAAAGAAGATACAAGAAATAAAACAATACTTTAAGTATTAAGTGTGATACTTGAAGTGTTTTTGCTTCCTTGCTTGCTTGCTTGCTTGCTTGCTTTTTAATCTTGTTTTTTATTTAAGGAAAATGACAATGCCATAAAAACCGTGAGTGGTCAATTAGGAACGGCTTGCTGAAATAAAAATAACTTTAGAGGGCACTGAAAACAGCACATTGTTGGTGCCTACCGAACTTCTGGAAACGGAATTCCACAAAGCAGGAGCTGCCACCCTGAAAATTTTAATTTGGGTGGATTCCACTGGACTGCAAGTAGATAAATAGGTACCACTTCAGTGGGGAGGAAACAGCACCTCATTGTGACATGCTGGCCACGTGACCACGGGAACGTCTTTGGATAGTGCTGGCTCATGGCCATAGAAATGAAGATGAGTGCTGCCCCTATGGCTGTTTGGCTAGCTAAGAAAACCCGCAAGGACTCCTTTCCTTTTCCATTGGGCTAGAGGTCTAGGATTTCTAACCACTGGCCATGCTGGGTGCAGCTCGTAGGGGCTGGAGTCCAACATAGTTGGGGGGCATGAGGGTGGGGAAGATTCAGTTATAGTTGCAACCTGATGTGGAGCACTGGTCGTTAACTTGTTCAGCAGGACAGGACTGAACATTAGAAGTCAAAAAAGGGCATGGTTTTATAAAAGCCCTAGTAAAATGTTTGATTCTTTTAATTAGCATTGAGGAATGTAGTACATGTTCTTCAGGTCTTGTACGCATTTCAATTCAGTGCTAGAAATGACATAAATATGCCTCTTTCAGCAGGATACAAACAGAAGAAGACTATCTAATAAGCAAAGCTGGACATCAGAACTGATAATCTGGTGGAACTCCATTTCCCTTCTTTTACTGCACCCCACTCTTCTGTATAAATATTCTCTTTAAAGCTTCTGCTCTAAAGATATATTTTCAATGGCTCTCCTTTTTATCCATCCATCCATCCATCCATCCATTTAAAACATTTATATCGTGTCCTCTACTAAGGTCTTTTCATCCATAACAATTTGGGCCCCAAGTACTTCTAACTTACCAACCTTTTTGCAGTGCAGGTTTTCCAATATGTAATGTCTACCATTAGAATATTGAACCATGAGTGCTCAGTTCATATTCATCAGTAGAATAATTCTGACCATCAATGAACAACCATTATCTGGATTATCTTTAGTTCCTCACAGATGCAAGACTCTTATGATCTTAGCCCACGGACTGAAAAATAAGTTTACCTGATAGGACACCAATTCTAAAACTCCCCTGGAGTCACCCTGAAAATTCCTGGGAGTCACTGTGAACATTCTTATGGCCCAAGTTTCTAAATTCTATGGATTTCACTGTGCAAAATGTTGCCGATTCTAGCAAAAGGTGCCAACAGTTTGTTCCTGTATTTGTTTCTATGAGAAATGATCAGTGCAAAGGATAAGTGCTTTGAAGATTTTGTAAGAAATCCTGTTGTTTTCAGAAGTTATTGTGCCTTTATAGTGTTCTTGTATTATAACATGAGCATACAATTCCATTCTGTTTGTTTTTTTAAACTTTTCATTTTAAAATTTAATTTTTCTCTTAAAACAGCTTTTCAAAAAACATTCCTTCAAGGAACACTTAGAGAATGTCAGTTGCATATTTCCTTCATGTTGTAACTCAATAATAGCCATTAATATTTTGTTGAATGGGACTTCATGAAAACTGTAGTTGCGAACATGCAATCATCTCATTTCTGAATGAACCAGCACGGCCCTGGGGCAGCCTCGGCTGACACTCAGCATTTTGCATAATGCTCCCTCTGGTAATAGTGCTTGTGTGCACAGCCGTTCAGTGTCCCTGCTTGCACAATACGTGGCACTTGCGGGAGCAAGATTTGCAACCAGTTGGCATATCACAAGCAGCTATGGCAGACAGCCCTTACACTGTCATCACTCATGATTCAGAACCCTCATTACAGAACAATCCATACATTCTCCCACAAAGCTCTGGTTGGAAATCTTTAAGCAAAGCCAATTTAGAACTCAGCTGTTTGTGAGAGCCAGTGCAGTGCAGCGGTAAGTGTGTTAGACTGGGGCCTGGAAGATCCGGGTTCTAGTTGCCATTCAACCTTGGCAAATGAGCCTGGGTCAGACATGGACCCTCAGCCTAACCTTCTTCACAGGGTTGTTGTGAAGTTAGGGTGAAGAAGGGAAGGACCATAGAACCTGCCATGCAAGTTCCTTGCAAGAGTGGGGAGAAGCAATAATAAATGCAGAAATGCAGTAAGAAATTTACATGCAATTTGGCTGCAATTACTTTCACTCAGAGGGACCCTTAGCTTGTCATCAGTGTATTGGTCAAACTTGTCTGCGTCTCTTTCTGGATTATGCCCCTGAACAGTGAAATGCTTTCAGTATTGCAAAGAGAAGGGCAGAGGGAAGGACCTGCATTGTGCAAAGAATCCCACAGCAGGTGAGGCCAATGTGTCTCTGCACTTTCCATGCAGAGATGCATGAAACCCTACCATGAGTTATGTCATTGTAGGGTTTGGACCACTGGAGGACCACTAGAGGCTGGACCACTTTCCATGAAGAACACACGGCCGGGGTTCCAAGAGGTGCTTGGGGATGCCAATAAACCCCACAGACACCTTCCTCCACACCCACTGGGCTCCTCGTCCCTCTTAAAAAATACCGAGGAGGCTGGCAAACTGCCCTGGTGACAACTCTGCACTCTACTCCAAGATTCTCACAAAGGAGTCTTAAATAAGCTAGAGCCCAGATAAATCTGTAGGAGTTTTTGATTTATACAGGAGAACCGAAGTGGGCTGCAATTAAAGAAATCATTGAATCATAGCCACAAACTATCTTGGAAAGAGGCTAAACCACCATTACACTTGTTCGATGTCACAGCCCATTTCCTTTGTCCCAGAAAATCCAGGGACAACCACTGAGAAGTGAGATGTTCCCACCTGCTAACCCTGCCCTGGATTTCTTGGTCACACAACAGAGTGTGACTAACAGAAAGAACCAAAGAGCCGTTTTTGATATGCATGATACTCTTTAAATAGTACATCTGCTTAGAAGTTTTACTTTGATATTAAAGACATCATTCATTTCCATTTCCTGTTTGTTAGACAAAAAGTAGTCAGGTATTTTTGGAAGGAGATTAATATGAACATTGAAGCTGTTAACTCACAAAGAAATTGCGATGGTGGCATTCCACTGCTGTTGCAGGTGCTTTGAAAATCAGGCTGCAAACATATGCACACTTCCTTAAGAATTTGATTATTCCGTCTTGGTAGCTCTGGTAAATAAGATTAATTCTCAATAGATGAAAAGCCATTTATTTCAGTGGAATTAGAATCAGGATTAAAATGGGTGCAAAAGGAACCCAGATAAAACAAAGATACAAAACAATTGAGAATCACATCATCAGACACTAAATGAAACTTCTTCCTAGTTGTTTTCATGTTTCTTTCTTCCCTCTGTGTATTTGCTTTCCATATGATGCCCATGATCTTGTCCTGCTCTAGCTGGGTAAGTTTTCCCACAAACAATGAAATCCTAAGGCACACTCACATAAACTGCTTTGGATAGTTCAAAAATTGTTGAGAATATTTCTTTATTGGGGGACATTTTGACCCATCTATTAATATGCTAGTCAACAGAGTGTAAAATCATATTGGTGCCTTCAAGGTAATCTTTTTATAAATACAGAAATGTAATTATGCATCCTCTAGAGGGCTGAAAATAATTATACAAGTGTACAACAAAGCCCAAGGCAATGACTCCTTTTAAATGGTTATTTTGAATATCATTTAAATCTTGTTAAAACTTAATTACCAGATTATTCTTGCTGCACTTTAGGTAGAAGATCTGAAGTCTAAGCTTGCCATTCAAGAGATAGAACTTCATCAAAGAAACAAAGACACCGGAGCACTCATTGAGAAAATTGGACTGCAAACGGAAAAACTGAGCCAAGAAAAAGCCATAGCTGATGAGGAAGAACGGAAGGTGAGTTGATAGATACAAACTATATATGCCACATACCCCTATGCAAACACACTTAGTGGGGAGTGAACCCCACTGGGCACGTGCAGAATTCAGGCTGATCTTCACATTAAAATAACCATACTATCTTTGCTGAGAAGAAGGAGTCTCTGGAAAGTGCTTTTAGCCCATCAGTGGGGGGCTGAAGTTAATTTGTTGGCCTTGGTACCAGTGCCAGCTCAGGATTTTGTGGGGCCATGGTCAAGATACCCAGTAACCCCCTCTCGCAGATAGCCAGTAAGCAAACCAGCTGTGGCATCAGCTGCACCTTTTTCTTGTCACCTTACACCTTACTACTACCAATTATAGTAATTTATCAGGGGCTTGTGGATCCCTGGCAAATGCCCAAGCAAACCTACCCTTGACATGGGACCTGCTTGCTATAGACCCCAACATCCTATTAACTGCAGCTTTGGAGGGTCCCCATAGCATGCAGGAGCAACTTTTCAGAGGATATAAAAGATCAGAGAATGCAGAATCCAAATAGGCAATAGCCCCAATGCCTATTTGGAAGATTATGTATATATTGGATCCCAATCCTTATTTTAATGTTTTGATTAGTAGTTCCCTGGACTATTAAATTGGTCGCACCACATTAGGGGGCCCTCCCTCAGAAAGGTGGGATATTAACTTTAATACGATGAACAAATACCATAGCAAAGTAACTGTGGGCACTAATAATGATAAACTTTTCTTCTACTGTCAAAGCCTAGCCTGTTAATCTCAGTTTGAACTGCAAATCCCAGGAGGTTAGTAGGACTAGAATACCATTTTAAACTTAGTACTCTGTGAAGATAGAGTTTTAATTTGTATGGAGAAGGATGCCCTTAGAGCACGCACATCAGTTTATGTCAGCATTTATTTAACTTACCTCGATGTTTCTTCCACGATGCAGCCATTAATTCTACCGCTGTCCTGTTCCCCAGAATCTGCTGGAGGGAAGGCCATAGTGCCCTGATATTTTGAGGCAGGAACTTACGTGTCCTGCTACTATAAACAGAGGAACCTGGGCATTAATTGCCATGTACTTCTAAGCAGGCAGGCTACTACTGTTGCCTCTGTGGGGAAAAGCTGTCCACATAGGACAGAACTTGATGGTACAAGCAATGTGGAACCTGTTTCCCTTCTCCATTCCTTATCATGTCTAGTTACAGTATAGTATATTTCATATATTTAAAGGATTTAATGAATTCAAACCCCATCCTTCAATATATCTTTCCAGAGCAGCTTGTGTAAAAAGAGATATAAAATAATAAATACATAATAAAACAGTAAACAGTGTAAAAAAATAGCAGCTAAGTTAAAAGGCATGGAGATTTTAAATTGATTCTGCCTGACATGGAAAAGACATTATTGTGACTCCAGTCCAGCTATGAGGAGCACCATAACTGAGAAGATCCTCTTCTCCAGTCTCCACATACCTCATCTCAGGAGGATGGTTTCACTACATGGGAAGGTAGACCTGAGCCTTCTTCAAGTGTCTAAGTGATCACAGGAGGGCTAAAACTGTGTAAGGGGACAGGACTGTACACACTGGCCAAGGTGCTGCCAATCCTCAAGGTCTGGAGGTTGCTTCAGAGGTGAAGAGAGCACTCCACATGTTTGGGGCCTGTGGGTAGTACCCACCATGCAATTACGGACCCACAGCAGTAGTAGAGTGCTCCTTTGGGCCTTGCCATTTGACAGGGGATGAACCGGAACTGCAAGGCATGGCGCATGGGAATGTGGGGGGGGGGACTGTGTGCCCCACCCCTGCCCCCCTGTGTGGCATTCGCACTCCTGCATTCAAGGGACCTCCTGGTCAGGACTGTAGGCAACGGACGATTTGGCATTTGCTGTCACTGTGGTCATCTGGTCACATACAGCTTTCCCTCAAATTTACCTGTGTGAGCAACATGAAAAGAAGACACTACAACATGTTATACTGTCAGACCTTTCTTGTTTCGCCAAGTGAGGATTCTGTCTTCTGAAGCGCAGCTTGCAGGAAGGCTCCCAGGCACCCTTTTTACGAGTCTCTCCTCACACCCACTTCTTTAACAACCCTTTGCTGAACCATCTTATGCCATGTTCCTCTCCATCCCAGTCCTGCTTGCCTAACGCAAATGGTGTAAGCCCTCTGGGGACTCCCACTTCTGTGGTCTTCATGGTGCTTGGCAAATTGGTGTTCCTGAATTAAATAACGTTGGATAGCAGTTCTTTCCAAAACCCAGATATTGAATGTGACATTGTTCATAGGTCTTGCTTTGTGTGAAACTGAATATTTGCTTGGCATGTACGTGTTCCGGTGCCCATTCGCAAGGCAAGAGCGCCATGCATGGCCTGACAATTATTGTGTGCTGTTTTCTAGGTGGCAGCTATTCAGGCGGAAGTAACAAAGCAGCAGCAAGAATCTGAGCATGACCTTGCGAAAGCTGAGCCGGCTCTTAATGCAGCAAATGCTGCCTTAAACACACTCAACAGGGTAACAGCGCTTCGTATTTGACTTGTTTCTAAGATTTATACCTTGCCTTATTGTTTACATCTTTTTCCAAGATGGCTTCTTGAACTGTACAAAAAGCATGGAAAATGCAGCAGCTTTCACCAACTCTTTCTGGAGTGTGTGTGGTCCTGGCTCCCAGCCACGTGTTAGAGGATGCAATGCTCTTTAAATAGCTATAACATTTATCTTTAGAAATGTGGCTGGTTGATTAATGCTGGTGCCTTTATGGTTTTGTTTCAGCTAAACTTAACAGAATTAAGAACATTCCCAAATCCACCAGCTATTGTAACAAACGTGGCAGCCGCCGTTCTCATGCTCCTATCCCCAAATGGCAAGATTCCAAAGGACAGAAGCTGGAAAACCTCAAAGATGTACATGAGTAAGGTAATGAAGACGCTCCATTGGAGGGCGCAAGCAATCACAAAGCAGTTTTCCAGGAAATATTTCTTAGCCACTACGTCTTGGCAGCTAGTTCTATATCTCAGGAAAGTGCCAGAGATAATAGAAATAGAAGAAGCTTGTCAAGGAACATCCAAAAACAGCTTCAAAGTGTATAGACATTTTGACATTCTGTCATAAAAAAATATAATGGTTTATTTAACACAGCAAGTTTTCCCAAATCAAATGTACTAAACTTCAGTAAAGACTGCCCAAGAGGAGAGGAGACAGTGAGAAAATACAGCCTAATCCAAAACAATGTACAATGTTTTCAGCATAAGCTACGCTACTTATGCCGTTCAGTTATATTTTAGTGATGGGTATGCTTAGGCTAGACTAGGGGCTGTGCCAAATGGAGGCTCGGAATCCTGCTGTCCTGAAGCTACTTAGCCCCACAGCATTCAAAACAATACAGGGTCTTTGCCATGTCCTTATTTGTTTCTCTGTTCAGGTCAATAGTACCTTGGTGGAGAGGTGCTTCAGATTAGCATGAGTTAGCGGGAGGGTGGGTTGGTTAGGTTGCATGCTTTACTCCTCAAGTAAAGCACCTCTGTTCCAAAGCTGGAGTCCCTTCCAAAGCTGGAGTCTCCTTAAGCATTTAAAAAGGATCAGGTGACCAGTGAAAATTCTACGGAAATTATTTGCTGTTGCTATGGATAGTTAAAGGAAACCAGGCCAGAGACCATTCATGCAATTAGTAAGCGGGTGAATGGTTTTTAAAAAGTAAGAAGGTGCATGGGGCACATCTTTATTGGGCCCCTGATATGGGAGCCCAATAAAGCTCCGGCTCCACATGCCCGTGGTTTGCATTGGAAGAGACACTCCAGTTTGTGCCATTGGAAACTTCTCGGGCAAACAGCAGGTGTTCCCTCTGCCCCTACCCAGATTGCTAATTGCATGAATTGTGCATGAAAAGTTTGGCCTTAAGACAATGATCTGCAGACACAGATATTTAAAACTGTGATTATGGAAGACATGGAGACACACGGTATTTGCATAATGTGCATGCCCAGTGGATCATTTGTATGTTTTCCTTCTTCAGGCAACTGGTATTAAATTACTAGGTTTTTAAAAAGATTTGTTGAGATCAAAGAATGTTGTATCTAATAACTAAAGATGCATCAGAAAGCATTATGTATTTCTCAATAGAACAGGAACCATGGGAAAATATTTGTCCTCGGAATTATTATTGATTTCATATGGTAGTCTGGGCAGAGCAGGCTGTAATTCTGCTATTTAGTGGTAGATATTTCCTCCCTTCATTAAGTTATTTTACAAATGGATGGATTGGAGTGTAGTATTTTTAGAACGACACTCTGTTCATGTACGAAGGGGTTCTCCATTTATTTTCCAGCTGCAGCCTCCTGCACCACCCTCCCCAAAGCCTGAGCCTTCTGAATTTGACATGGGAAAACAAGCATAGATGTGGGGGGGGGGGGGGCTTGGAGAACACCCCCCTGCCCTTCCCATATAAAAGCCGAAGTGCATGTGGCATCTGGAGGAAAGTTGTAAATCCTATTAGTTGTTTATAATATGATTTTAGAGTAAATGAGTAAAAGATCTGCTTGTACATATAGATTAGATTTGCTGTCTTTACAGATGTGAGTATCTCCTAATTATAGCCTCTATAAAGCTCTGTAAGTGTATGAGAGATGGTGGAATTCTTCATCTCTGAGCAAGGGAAAATCTTGCAAAGGAAGTGCATGGATGTGTGTCTACCCATATCCCCACTCCAGATTCTCCTAGTTTGCGTTATTTTTGCTTAAGCAAGAGATGGCCAATGCAGCACGGATAGCTAGGCAGCATAGCTTATGCTCGTTGGCCTCCGTAGTGTGCATGCTCAAAGAAACTTTGTGGTTTTGCAGCACTAGACCAGCACAGCTACCCCTCTGCTATTGACAAATATGTAATGACAACCAAGAGAATGAGACTTATACCCGCCGCTGCCTGAAATAGGGTAATTTCTATGTGTGATGGTCTGGCCACTGACCAAACCCAGAACAGCAATGGTCAACATTTAGGAATCAAGAAATGGATGGAATCTCTCTGCAGGATAGATGATCAAAGAGAAAGGACTATGGGCAAATAAAGAGGCCATGGGCTGATTTCTGGCACATCATTGACACCAGGTGGTTTCTGGCAAAGGACAATGGTCTAGGTGGTACCTGATATGGTCTAGCAACCTGCTTATGTTCTTCAGAAAGAGGGAATATTTGGAATCGCTTAACATAGAACAATCACAGATTAATTGTTCAAAGATTCAGAGTACCCTTGTTTCATAAATGTAAAAACCATCAGTATGGCTCCGGAGAGATTCTCCCTTGATTGTTGGGGTTATTTTAAGTAAATGCATAAGACAGAAGTCATGCTACCCCTCTCTTGTGTGTTCTGAGATGAATGTTCATGAGAGTGGAAGCTTTATATGTTCCCATATTCCAGCCGTTCTAACGGTGTTTTGCATGAAACAATTGGTTTATGAGAACAGAAGAAACTAATGTTTGCTTGCAACCTACTTTGCCCTGTGTGACCTGTCCTGACCAGTTCACCTTACTTTCTTAGACTTTTGCCCATCAAAACACTGAAGAAACATTCAAAATATCAGGGAACATGCTCTCTCAGCAACAGGACATTGACAGAGTTCATGTGCCTTGCTAAACCATCAGGGGCTTGCTAGCATGTTGTGTGAAACCCACCCACTTCTCAAGGGGTGATCTATACGCTACCCTGGAGTGGCTTATATGCCACCCTAACAAGCCATGGCTTGTCGTGCAGCTTAGGAATCCCCTGTGGCTTACTGTGGCAAACCCAAATGATGCGCTGAGCCACAGTCAGGCCAAAAGCTTACAGAGCACCATGGCCAGAGCGGCAACAAACAATTGCCAGTCTAGCCAAGAGACTCCAGCAGGTGAAAGCCAGCAAAGTGTCCAATTTCCCTCACTCCAGCCCATGTCAGGAGGGAGAACATGCTCGTGGGCAATTCTGCCATCCCTCTTGTCATGGGCAGGAGCACTGAGGAAAGCCACTGGGGCCTGCAATGTGCCTCCCCCTTGAATCTCACTGTGTGCCTGGGGGAAGGGGGCAGAACACAAATGCAGGAAGGACTTGGTGTTGCGTTTTGTTTCACTTTTTATTTTTGACTTCGAAGTGACAAATTATGCAATGAAAGAGGGACTTTTCTGATTATCCCAAAGTATGGTGCAAACAAAGTACATCATATTTTGTGGCATTCAGTCTAAGCGGTTTAAAAGCACGGGGTCAGATATTTGGTTAAGAGAAGCATTCAGATTTCCTACATTGGTATCTCATTACAACTAAGCAATGCATTTCATTTGTGCGGAGTGTTTCCCTTTTTTCCTTTAGGTGGATGAATTCCTCCAAAGTCTTGTCAATTTTGATAAAGAACATATCCCTGAAGCAACAGTTAAAGCTGTGAAAGAAGAATATCTGAATGATCCAGAATTCAACCCAGATTTTGTACGGACAAAATCTTCAGCCGCTGCTGGTCTCTGTGCATGGGTTATTAATGTTATTAAATTCCATGAGGTACGCATTAAAATGCTATCTTTCTTTGCTCAACTGTGTTGTTTAATTCCATAAGGAATTAATGCATTTAATCAATATAGTACTCCATCCATTTTTAACTTTTCTGTCTTTCTATGGCCAACAAAGCATCTTCCTTACTCTCTTTCATTTGGCCAATGGAACAGCTACCATGTAACACAATGAGACCTTTATGACTCCATCAAAGCTTTTCAAAAGATTTGAAACATATTAGAAATATTGCCATGCATTCTCCCCTGCCACCCCACAATAGCCCAGTTCTTATTCATCATATTCATGCATCATCTGCCCAGTGCACATTGGTTATTGGGGAGTATAGAAATGTAATAAATACTTGGGGCACATTTTCCAAACAGGAGTTTAGCACCTATTCCTACTCATCTGCTGAACATTCTAAGCACTCACAGCTAACTACATTTCCCATGATTATTTGGGGAAAGCCGTGATGCTTTATAATGTAGGTATGCCATTATTTATAATAACTTAGACCATGTTATTAACCCAGGTGCTGTTTTCATTGCAAAATTTACAGAGGTAAACCTAACATGTACTAATTCTACATATTGCCACCTGCTCAGTACTAAACAATGTCCCCAGATTTCACTCTCTTACCATTTACAGTTCTCTTTTCATGAACAAACAAACAAGAAAGACTCCGGGGACAAAGCATATTCAAGGAATTGATAAGATTGTGCCAATCTGGGTGCATTTCTGCACGTTTATCAGATGAAGCCCAGCATTTTAAATAATGTTTGGGCTTGTAAGACTTTGGTTTGTCGACACGCGCTCAGGTCTGTATCTTAGCCAAGGAAACATTCTGAGGTTAAAAAAAGCAAACAAAAGCCATTCAAGGCAAGCAGACCTAAGGGTCCATATTTCTTTCTGAAAACAAAAACTTGAGACAAAAATGATCTAGTGTTTTTTCAAAGACTGATCTGAAGAAGCCGACTTAAGAATCTTCTAATACCATATGTAATTTTTTTGGGAGGGACCCTGAGATAAACTGGACTATATATAGGAATATTCCCTAAAGTGCTGTACATTGTGTGTGAGCAGGGGGATACTTTATTTCTTTATGAATTCAATTATACTTATTTGCTGTATTTCTGAACTGCCCAATAACCAAAGCTCTCTGGGTG